TAGGACCCTGTGACATCTCAGGAGCACCAGAGGCCACCTCCCGATCTGCGTCAGAGAACGCCTCTTTGATTTTTTTTTGATTTTTTTAAAATTTTCCTTATCACATGCTTACAACACAAATCACACTTTTTATAATGCTATATAATCTGTTACAACCTCTAATACACCATTATCACTGGCAATGGCTGTTAAGTTATAATGGTTATAGAAACAAAATGATTTTCCCCCCGTCATTGCCAGTGCTCGCTTAACACACTATTTTTTCTCTCCTTAAACTCCAACTCAAATTATACAAACTTAATAAAATGATACTTATTGTTATCCCAAACAGTTTCTCTTATATCTTATCTATAATATATTAAGCCTTTTAATTACTCTTAAATAAAAAGAATAAACAGCAGAAAGGAACTCCCCTACCACCTCCCATAGGGTGGGGCCTTGGAGGAAGACCCCCTTTGGAATTTCCAAAGTCCCATACAGAGGTGGCAATCTCCAAGAACTCCGCCACGAAGATTTAAATTTTGTGACCTCTTTGAATTTGACTACCCACGGGTCGTCCCCCCTCCGTGCTCCGCTTTAGCCTGGCTCCTGGTGACTACCACCCCTCCCAGCTGGGAGTGTGTGAACATAAAGAGTCAATCACCTCCTCCTTTTGGCTGGTGTGCTGTGGTAGGTGGGACAGGGCATCTGCCAATGAGTTGGCTTTCCCCAGTAAGTGGTGTAGGGTGAAGCAGAACTTTGAGAAAAAATCTGCCCATCTGCCTTGTTTGGTGTTCAGGTTTTGGGGGGTGCATAATACCTCGAGGTTTTTATGATCAGTCCACACCTCAAAAGGCACCTGTGCCCCCTCCAGCCAATGCCGCCAAGTGGAAAGCACCAACCTAATGGCCGCTGCCTCCTTGTCCCACACTGCCCAGTTCTGTTCTGTCACATTAAACTTTTTTGACACATATGTCAGGGGGTGAAGCCTCCCATCTGATCCCTTTTGGAGTATCGACCCACCCATGGCCACGTTGGAAGCATCTGCTTGTACAATAAACATTTTATTTTCATCTGGCTGAGCAAGCACCAGCTCTGACCTGAACAGTGCTTTGAACTTATCAAACGCCTCCTGGCATTCTGCTGTCCAGTCCAGGCGCACCCCAGGTTTTGTACTGGCTTGCCCCTTCTTTTTAGTCTTTAATAAGTCTGTCAGGGGCAGGCTCACCTGGGCAAAATTGGAGATGAAGGTTCTGTAAAAATTCATGAAGCCTAAGAGCCCTTGGAGTTGGCGCCGGGTTCTAGGGGCTTCCCACCCCAATACAGCGGCTACTTTATGTGGGTCCATCTCCAGTCCTCTAGGAGAAATACGGTAGCCCAAGAAGTCAACTTCCATCTGGTGAAACTCGCATTTTGACAGCTTAGCAAACCGCTTGTGATCATACAGTGCCTGTAGGAGTGTCCTCACCAGTTTCACATGTGATTTTTTATCTTGGGAATACAGTAAAATGTCATCTAAGTAAATGAGTGCCCCTTTGAACAAGTGTTTGTGCAATACTTCATTGATCAGGTTCATAAACACTCTGGGGGCCCCTTGGAGCCCAAATGGCATGACCAGGTACTTGAACTGCCCTAATGGAGTGTTAAATGCAATTTTTCACTCGTCCCCCTCCCTGATGCACACTCAGAGGTAAGCATCCTGCAGATCTAGTTTGGTAAAGATCTTTCCCTTGGTTGCCTCTGCCAAGAGGTCTTGACTAAGGGGAAGGGGTTAAGCGTTAGTGGCTGACACAGCATTCAAACCTCGGTCATCCGTGCATAGCCGGAGCCCTCCGTCTTTCTTCTTCCAGAAGAGCACTGGGGCAGCAAACGGGGAGGAGGCGGGGTGGATGAAGCCCTGCGCCAGATTTTTGTCAATAAATTTTCGCAGCTCCTCTTTTTCAGCTGGGCTCATAGAATATAACTTCCCTTTAGGCAACTTATGTCCCAGCAAAATCTCAATAGTACAATCTGTATTACGGTGAGGAGGCAACTTGTCTGCCTCTTCTTCCTCAAACACTCTGGCCAAGTCTCTATAGTCCTTCGGGATGGAGTTTAACTCCTCTTGTGCCAGGCAGACCCAAACCAAGGGTTTGTGGGGGGCTTCTCCCCACTCAGGTGACCAAGTGTGGCTCTAGCACCCCTCAGCCACAAAATTCACAGTCCCTTCACTCCACAAGATGTGTGGATCGTGGCTGCACTACTATGGACTGCCTAAAACCATGGAGAATTGTGTCATTGGGTTTATCACAAAATCCCGGTGTTCCCAGTGGGATCCAGTCCCCATCTGAATAGGTATTGTTTGGTACCTACACGGCTCCTTCATAGCCGAGCCATCCATTTGAATGAAAGTCAGGGGCTCGGCTAACTTTTGCACTGGGACACCCAACCCTGTTACTATTGAAGGGCTGATCAAGTCTCTCACACACCCAGAGTCTACCAGGGCCCTCACTCGCACCCGCGTCCCCATTTCGGGGTTAAGAACCGTTACAGTCACGAAAAACAGAGGGTTACTGCTCACCATTTGTGGCACTGATTGCTGTTGGACCTGCTGCTCTGCGCCTTTTACAACAGGTCCTGGCTTTTCCCGCTGGCTCAGGGCTTTCCTCCCCACTGGAAGAGGCACCTCCTCTTGCGGTGCCCAGCTGCAGAGCCCTTGGGAGCTTCGGCTGTGCCCCCCCTTGCGTGAAGGGGTCTCGGCCCCTGTCTTCTCGAGACCCTTCTGGGCTGGGGGGGGGCGAGGACTGCAGGACAGGAGGTGGCATAATGCCCAGATTCTCCACAGCCACAGCTCTTGTACTTGTTCTGTCTGCTTTGGCAGCAGCACCTTAGAAGGGGCCCTGGGAGTTTTCGGGTACACCCTAGGAGCATGCATTTTAATCATTTGGAGGCAGCTCTCAGCATCCCCAGTCTCGTGCACCCAAGAATTCAGCAAGACGGGATGCACACTACAGAGCACGGTCTCCAGTATTTGGTCACTCAGGCCCAGCCGGTACAGCTCGACCAGCACCGCTTCCAGCCAGCCTTGGATCTTGGCTGCGTGCATCTTGAACATCAGAATACTCGCGCACCGACTGGTTCCCTTGCTTCAGGTTCTTGATGTAATTGCGCACCTTCTCCCCTTCCATCGGGTCCTCGTACTGCCGACGGAGCGCCCACATAAATGATCACACCTCGTGGAGTTCAGGTCCACGTACGTTGTGGAGGCTGACATACCAGTCGGCTGCACGCTTTCGCAGTTTTGACCCGATGTAATCCACCTGGTGCTCTTCGGTGGGAAAGAGATGGCCCCAATCCTGCACAAACGTCTGCACTTTCAGCACAAAAAAGGGCAACTTCTCAGGGGTACAGTCAAACATGGCATCCAGCAACTCCTTCAGCCAGTCTAGGGCTGGGGCCACTGGAGCAGGGACTGGCCCCAGTGGCGCCCCGGGCCGCACAGGAACCGGTACCTGTGCTGGTGGCACCTGTGCCAGCGGGGCTTGCTTCAGGGGTGCCTGTTGGGCTGGAGGGGCTTGAGCCGGCACTGCCGGTTGCTCTCACAGACTTTGAAATCTTGCTCAAAAATATACCCGAGCATACATCTGGTCTACCTTCTAGATTATATGATATTTTGTTACGATCAGAAATGCTGAAAGCTTACTCCTACCAACAGCTTTGGCAGACTGACTGTCAACAGCGAATCTCGGAGGAGGATTGGCCAGGTATATGGGAGGCAGTACGTTTCAAATCAAATATATATTCCCTTAAATACCAATATATTAAGTTACTGACAAGATGGTATTTACCGCCTACAAGAATGCATCACATCCATGAAAAGAATTCTCCCAGGTGTTCAAAGGGATGTGGTTGTGTTGCAGATTTTCTCCACTGTTGGTGGACTTGTGAATAGGTACAAGACTTCTGGAGAGGTATCTTCTTACACATCAAGAATATCACAGGAATGGATCTCCCGCTTCTGCCAGAGGTTTTGCTATTAGATTATTGGAAGATGCCATTTGGGAAACTGAAACGCGACCAATTGACCTCAACTCTAATTTCGGCAGCTAGAACATTGCTAGCCTCAAAATGGAAAGATCAGAAAATGCTGACGATAGATCAATGGCCTGGAAGTTGTGGGACTTTTATATTTTAGGTAAACTTATGAATAATGCACAACTGAACAGATCAGATCAACAGAAACTAGCATATACTGAATTGTGGTCTCCTGTTATTCATTATTTGATGGGAAATGACATATCACGAAATGATGAGAATTATGTTGACTTGATATGAATATAAGCAGAGCTTTTTGTTTTGATGGTCGATCAGGGTTTATTCATCTCAACCTCACGGTTTTATATGCTATATTTATAGTTTCAATATATTTGATGTTATCTTTTAAATAAAATAATTTTTTTAAAAAAGAATAAAACTTTGTTGATCTTAAAGGTGCCCCTGGACTCATACTTCATTCTTCAGAGTCTTGTTCACATCTTTTATTTATTTTGTCCTGTTCAGTTAATTTTTTTTTGTGTTGATCTTTCAGCATTCCTAGCCTTGGCTTAAATTTCCCTTTGATTCTTTGGATTTTGTGAAACAGACCTTGTTCTTCCTTTTCGTTTTTCTCTTCCATTTCTTTACACTGGTTATTGGAATGCTGCATTTAGACTTCTGATTTTATTTTTGTCACCTTTTATTTTTGACTCTTGTCTATCTTTGTGAAGGTTAATGAATAATAAATATTTCTTGCAGTGGAAATAAGCTCTCCACTCTAATTGTTGTTGTTAATCCTTTTATAATCAAAAAAACTTCCTCATATGGTGCTGTGCTCACATCAGCAGGTGTAGTTTTGTGCAACAATTTTCATATGACTACTCAGGAAAGCTTTATGATTCTGAGCCCTGTTTCAGCAAACAATATTAGAGCCTCGCAGGGACTCACATGTCCACCTCTTGTCCATCTTTCTTACTCAGTCCTCTATTCCTTTCTTTTTCTTCTAGGGGCCACCTGGGCAGCATGGACAGAAAGGAGAAATTGGCTTTCCTGGAAGACCTGTAAGAATTGTTTTATTAGATTTCTTCTAGTGTGGATTGTTTTCTTATTAAGGGAGCAAGAGGAATCAAGAGTCGATTCTACTGATTCTGCAGTAAATTGTAACAACTGCTGCTTTCTTCACAAGGCGGGGACTAGAAGGGTGTCTGTAGAAATAGTGATATCTGTAGACTTTTTGCTGCTTTCATACGCCACTCCTGTGTCTGCACTTTTTTCAGTGTGCAACATAGGAAGTGCTGTACCATGGTTCTGGGTTTAGGGGCTGCCTGGGATAAGAAGGCTGGAGTGGTCAAGATGAGGTCAGAATTAAAGGGTGTGCATAGACAAATGACATCCTTGTGGATATGGTAGATTGCACTCCTGTTGTAGCCTACAACCTAGCCCTGGGGTGACCAAGAGAATAATTCCTTGGACACTGCAGAGGAGGCTGTGTGACTGCAACTGTACAAAGTAGAGGGGTGAATCGCTTTTGGCAGGAGGTTGCTTCATGGCTGGACAAAGACAGTCAACTAGTGGGACAACTGCAGGGCAAAAGTTCATATTCCCAGGAAGAAAGTGGCCTGGATCCTATGGCGGAAAGTGACTGCGTGGAACCAGGGCGCTCTTGTTCTGGGGAAGAGGAAGGGATGGCCAAAGAGAACTCATGGTGCTGACTTGGAAGATTCTCATCAGTACCAGACATAGGTCGAACCAGTGAAGAGGGTTTTTAAAAAAATACTTTTAGCATGTACAAAAGCATTGTCAATATATTGAATCATTATAAAGAATGGAAGAAAGTATGACGATCTCTGCTTTGTATTAAATTCCTATAACACCTGTTCACTAAAGGAAAGCATAGACAATTAAAAAATTCTTTCACAAAATATTATGTGCACGTCGCAGTATTTGATCACCTTTGCTGTTCCAATTAGTCATTATTTTACACTTTTTTAAAGTGACAAAGCAAACAAAACCTGATTTCAGGCTTGCTTCCCGTGGTAGGACTTTATGACTCAGGCCTCCATTCTTTCCATTGGGGTCTTCTTAATTTTTTGCAAAGTGTTCTGTCTAGAACAACTTAATACTGAATGTGCTTAGCGGTTTGGTTTCTATTCTGGTTATAGTTATCAGAGGATATGTAGAATCTACCCTCTCCTCTTCCACTCTGTTCCCAGGAGACTTATAAGCTCTCAGACCTCTTCTTTCTGAGAGAGAGAAAGGTGGCAGGTGCTCTGCTCTTACTGATACACTCCTCCCACGTCAGGGCTGTGGGAACCATTCAGTCGATTCAGCTGCTGCTTGTTCTCTGCAGGGCCGGCCTGGAATGAATGGGTTGAAAGGAGAAAAAGGTGACCCAGCAGACTCAACTGGAGGGCGGGGCTTAATGGTGAGTATAAAACTGGAACACCCACCGGACAATACAGTTTATGTTGAGGACTTGTGTAGTAGCTTTGATGCTAACTGTTCTTCAGTAGCACCTAGAGTTACTGACTTAAATCATTTACAATGGTAGCCTCCCTAACTAAAGAAGGCATGATCAATTTGAGTCTCCTCAAAGGGCAATGATATGTCTGCTGACATTAGTCATGATTGTCACAGCATCAGTACAAATATCAAATGAGGATAGAGCAGGTCCCACAATATATTTTGAGGCGATAGTGAGCAACTATTTGAGTAAGTGTGCCATCACTCAAATCCAAAGTATTAGACAGGGCCAGCCTTCTTACTTGACCATTTTAACCCAATTGTTATCTGGCCCAATTCCATGTAAAGCGACATGGGAACAGATCTTAAAGACCTGATGAACAACAACAACAAAACAGCCCTTCCAAGAAACATTCTCAAAATGGAATTAGCTTAGTGCCAAAAACCACTCTGTCAATTCTTTTGGGCTTATAAAACCCCTAGATTGAAATTTGCAAGCTTAACTCAACCCTCCATGGTGGGAGGATTAGACTTTCCAAATCTAATATTATACTATGAGGCAATAAACCTGTCAAATATAGTCAGGACAATACATAGCAACACAGATTGTAAATGGAAACAAATTGAAGAATCCTTCTCTAAACATCTACAGTTATCAGAACTTTTCTGGAATCAAGCCAAATTCAGACCAAAATCAATACAAGATAATGAAATTCTTTAAAATTCATTGAACATATGGAACAAACATAGGAAAAATTTATGCCCTGATATTTCTCAAATGGCCACTTTTACAAACCAACACTGGTTCACACCAGGACAAGAAACTATAGCTTTCAAAAAATGGAAACAAGCTGTGATATCTCACATACGAGATTTAGTTAAAAAGGGGAAATTATATGAGAAAGCTGAATTGGAAACAATTATTGGAGAAAAAGTCCCATGGTATAGATATTTGCAAACAAAGCACATGATCAGCACTCTACAGCATACTGGAACTTTCACAAGACCCTTGACTTCATTTGAACTCCTTTTGGAGAAACAAATTGGAGAGACTAAAGGTCTAATTTCTAATATTTACAAAATTCTGATCTCCTCAGTACACACTTCAAAAATGAAATACCAAACAACATGGAATCTGAATTGTCAAAACAAAATAAAAGAATATGATTGGATTGAAATTTGGAAATTTCCCAGTATGTTATCTAAAATATTTAATATAAGCTTTAATTCCTTCAAAGTCATAAATAGACAGTACCTTCCTCCCACAAGAATCCACCGCATTAATTCTAAAATGAGCCCAAAATGTCAGAAAAACTGCAGCCAAATTGGAGATTACATACACTGCTGGTGGAACTGTCCAGTCATTAAAAATTTTGGCTCCTGATTTTGAAACAAATATTTATAATTATGGGAATAAACTTACCTGAATTACTGGAAATAGCCCTTCTCTCCCACTGGTCGAAACCTGGATAAAACACAAGTAAGGAAAAAATTAATCTCATACCTTCTTGTGATTGCAAGAATTTTAATTGTAAAAAAAATGGAGAGAATGATCAGGCCTGACTTTAGAAATGTGGCAAAATAAACTATGGGAATACTTTTTGTTAAGCAAAATAATGAACCATTCAACTGAAGCTAATTTGCTTAACTATCAAAAGACATTTCAAGCTCTTTGGTTTCCTGTGGTAAATTACCTGGCAGATAAAGGAATAATTCCTAATAATTCACATTATTGAGACTGGTTATATTTTTGAATTGTTATAATGTTAAAGCTTAAAAGTTCAACCTGTTCAATTGCATGATAGTATGTGAGTAGATGTACTGTATTTATGTATGGATAAGTTGAAATTTTTATTCTTTGTTTTGTATTTCGCATTGTATTTAATATATTAAAAAACTCAGAGTGAAAAAAAACCCCAAAGCGTATGGAGGGGGGTGATGGCTGGCCTTCGTAGGGGTAGTCTCCCAACCCAGTGTTCAGTGGAAAATAGTACTTCTGGCCACTGTGTGACACAGAGTGTTGGACTGGACGGGCCTTTGGCCTGATCCAACATTGGCGTCTCTTATGTTCTTATGTAGAAGTACATAAGTAGAGACCGTCAGAGAAACCCTGGGCCTGAAGCCATATGAGCATGATCCAGAAGGGTTGGAGAGCTGGCAACCTTAGAAGAAGCCCCGAAGGAACTCGATGTTCAGACTATTCCACATTATTATTATTATTATTATTATTATTATTATTATTATTATTATTATTATTATTACGAAGTATTTACATACACAGTGAGTCAAGCGGAATAGAAATAAAATCCAGATAACTACCATATAGAAGCTTCCAGTACGGATCAGTGAAACAAGCAGAGCATAAAAACCTTTTAAGATGGAAGCGAAAACAGACAGATAATGCCGGGGTTGGAGTCATGCCAGAAATCTGTTTTCCACATCATGTGTATCTGAGCTTAGGCAAAATGCCTTTCACTTCCCAGCTTCCATGGCACGTTTAAGCCACAGCTCATCATTTAGAGACTGAACAAAGCCTCCTTCTTACATAGGAACTAGACTCTTACATACCAAGCTCTTTAAGAGGGCCTGCTTCTCATTAGCCCAGAAGAGAAATACGGATTTTCTATCCAGAGTCATCACTGACAGCACATCTGATTTTTTCATGTGACGGCCAGGGGGGGGGGGGGGGGGGAACCCAAAGCGTATGGGGGGGGGTGATGGCTGGCCTTCGTAGGGGTAGAGTTTCCCAACCCAGTGTTCTGTGGAAAATAGAAGTACATAGGTACAGACCGTCAGAGAAACCCTGGGCCTGAAACCATATGGGCATGATCCAGAAGGGTTAGAGAGCTGGAAACCTTAGAAGAAGCCCAGAAGGAACTCAGGGGTGCAGTTTGATGTTCAGACTATTCCACATCTGTGCCCTGGCAAAGAGCCACTGCTCTGTTCCACGTATATCTAAGTTCATGTCTTCCAAAGCAATGCATCTAATGGATGGCTTTTTCTGCTTCAAGAGATAAGTGTGTCTCCTCCTAGGAATAAAATGTGTGTTGCAGGCAACCACCCTGCTAAGATGGAGCTACACTGCCCTGTGTTGTACCCTGCTGTGCCCTGTGTTGTACAGAACTGTGTGCATACTACATGATCAACTAAAGATTTTTGCACGTTTAACATTAACCGAGTTTCATCTCTGAATGTTTAGCTCTGGCATCCTTTGTTGGTGAATCAGTCATGGGGGGCCAGTTTGCTGTAGTCTTTGCCCTTTGTCTTTGCCATTTTTCACTCGGCTTATCATTAAGATGGCAAAATGCTTATTCTGACCTGTAGATTACTAGAAAAAATTATGCAAGCATGCCAAATGCACAGCAGTTTATCTCTCTGTGTGGTGCATAGACTATATGTATCCGTAAAATATTGAGAACCTTGAGGATAGAGTTTGAATTTTTATAAGCTGGGGGGAAGCTGATATTGTAACCTAGGTTTTGTCATCTGCTAGAGGTAGAAAATTAACATTTATAGTTGTCAATTCTGCATCTAACAAAATGGAGCAAATTGTAACAGATGTTTCTGGGAGTGTGTTACCTCCTTGCTTTTTCATTCTTTGAGTCTACAATGCATTCTGGGGGCAGATGCCATAATATAATATTTTGTGTGCAAATAAGAACAGCTTTAATACATAGAAGAGGAGGCAGCCAGGCTGCAGAATTGTTACAGCAGAGCAGAAATTGGCTAGTGGCTTAATTTATTCGCCAGTGGTTCAGATCGTGGGATAGTCCATACAGTTGGGATAAGCTCCTCCTCCAATTGCCAGGTCGGCTCCAAGCTTTGATCCAGGTGGGGAGGGGCTTATCCCCTGGAGGCTTCCCAGTTCTTGCTGGCCCTGCTTCAGAGCAGGACGTACTCCAGAAGCACTCTTCAGCGCAGTGAACAGAAGAAGAAAGAAGAAGGAAGAAGTTGAGCCGCGGGAGTGCTAGTTTCGGTGGCGAAGAGAAAAAGAGGGCGATTTGGCTCTGGGAGGTCCCTGGCTGCCACGGTGTTCCAGTGGCCCTCTGCAGACTCCCGCTGGCCTTACCCACCCGTGGGGTGGAGGGCCTGCCCCTTGGTGCTGGTTGGGGTGCGGTTGAGTTTGCGGTCCAGCGGCAGGAGGGCCCTGCCGTTCCGGATGGCTCCCTGACCGCAGCAGACATCAGAGAGTGGTCGAAGGCAGGAGAGAAAACTCCCAGCCCAGTCGATGCTGCTGTGAGTTCCCTTGGCCCCTTTACAGTCCTTTTCCAGTTGGGAGGGACTCAGGGGTAAGGGGGGAAGGCGGCGTGGGGGACATGGGTAGCCCCAGTCCTTCCTGAAGCTGGTGGAGGCGGCACGGGGGGAACCTTTATTCCCGGCCATGCCTAACCCTGTGTGGCTGCCTCCTTAGGATCTCCTGGAGGGCATTTAGAACTGGTTTGTACTGGGGAGGGTTTTCCAGGGAGGCCAGTGACAAAATTGTTCCCCAGTTCAGAAAGGTTTGCAGTGCCCTGTTCCTATGGAGAGGCTTTTTTTAGGCGGGAAAAATGGCGGTGGGCATTTTAGACTCCCTCATTGAGCTTTCTGTTTCACTTCCTTTTGCAGGCCTAGTGAGATGGCTGACCAAGCCAAAAGAGAAGGCTCACAAGGCAGAGACAGCTCCCTTAGTGACCTGAGTTTTCCCAGACTGTCTGTCTCCCTTGCCACACAGGAAGCAATGGAGACACATGAAGTGGATCCTAGGGAAAATGAGAAGGCTGAACTTATGAACTGGTTCAGGAGTGAGATTAGAAGGGAGTTCAAGGAGATGCTGCAGGACACGTTCCAGGGCTCTGATCCTACTGGATCCTCCTTAGAAAGGGGCAGAACAACTAAGAGGTCCAGACCTAGCAGGGAAGATATATCCTCCAGCAGTTCTAGATCCCCTCCTAGATCCAGGCAAAGGAAGCGAGTTAAGTCTCC